ACACATATTTAAATAATTGCATGACCGGTTCACAATCTTATTTTAATGTTAATTATTTTAATGTTATATCAATGAAGCAGCTCTAATTGATTTTTGACAGCTTAAAATTATATATATTTAAAACAGTTTTAAGTAAGAATAACTAAGTAAGAATGACTATAAACACGTATAATTTTAAAGTATATAATATAAAAAATATACATTCACAAAATTTTAAGATAAATTTATGCATCGGATCGCATTTTATGTAATATTCATGTATTGTGACATGAGATTTCGGAAATAATTTCATAACTAATCTCAGATAATTTAATAACTGATTTATGCTTGTAAATTCGTATGTTAAACTATTTATGATTATGACCTCATATAAAATTTTTTTTTAAGGATCTAATTAAAAATCATGCTTTTTCTGTTGTCAAGCAAATATTTTTTTCGAGATATCGCACGAAATAAAGCAAACAAAATTTCAACGCCAAATAAGTACGCACACGTTCAATCCTATACGTTTTTGAAGAGTGTTTTGAAGAGTGTTGAAGAGTGATAAGCGTCGATAAGAGTCGTGTCGTCATCAACGATCGAACGTCTAAACGTCATCGTAGCTGCGGCGTTCGCGGTCGGCACCGTGTGACGTCTGACATCGCGTTTGACGTGATCACGGCGCGATCGATTCGTTCGATTCGAGCTCTCGAGCTGCCCGCAGCGCGCCCCGCTGCGGCAACGAGTAACGACACCGTTAGGCGCCGCGACCGCGATCTACCTCTCCGCTCGCTTTTATTTACCCTATACACACACACACCAGCTCATACACGCGCGCGCACGCACAAGAGACGCTGGACACACGCTCGCTTACTCTCTCCCTCCCCCGGATGATAAACATGGCTGTCGTGCATTGTGATGATTATCAGCGAGAGTTTGTGCGGCCGAGTGTCGCACCGAGTGAACGCGAGTAATATGGATGAGGGACGCCAGTCCCGGAGACCCAGGTAACGACGCCGAGCACTCCCGCGTCCCCTTTCTCTTCCTCTGTTACTGTCGTTACCGTCGTGAAATCTGCGAATTTTACCTGACGGCCGACGGCAGGTATTGTTTGTGTGTAACTCACTCGTTATCGTCCTTTCTATTCACGCAACTCTTTGGCTTATATCACACAAGCGTTTTCCTATTTTTTTCGTCCATCTTCCTCTTCCCCCCTTCGACTCTGCGAAAGCGAAGGTGAGTGAACCTGCTCTGCTTTGCACGTCATTTATCGCTGGCTGCATGGTCCGTCACGCATTATTTGCGCGATTGTTCGCATAGCCCCCTGATACCTTCGCGTTGTGTCCAAACGGTGCACCATATATGTCTCATGGGATCTACCGATCTCGTGATCGCGAAGATTCGCGCTCCCCTTTCCCTCGCTGTGACTGGATAGTGATACCTCTTGGGGAAACGCTTGTCGGGAATCTGTCGCTATGCGATGCATTATCAATACGTCAATTTATCTGTTACTCAAAGGCCTGATGCTCCGTTTGCATGTTGTTTGCATATATGCCAATGCTGTTTCAACCATGCAAGTACAGTTTATATATTCACATTCAAGTAGAACATTTGAGAACTTTAAACTAATTTAAATGTTAAGTGTTTAATATTTGATACTTCTCGTGCTTTTTTAATATGGCTAAAATTTGCTTGCATAAACATGAATTTCCTTTTGCTATCTTAAATAAAACATTTGAGTATGCAAACGCAATTTTAAAATGTAGACACACGTTTCATCAGAAAGAAATATTTAACAGTAATGTATAACACTGTATTACAAATTCACAGTAAAATAGATAAAATTATTTATAACAACAAAAAAAATTCAAATAAATACATTTACAGTTGTCTTAATTAAAAGATATATTTGAAGAATTATGTATATAAATAAGCCATTAATATTAATATATCTTGTATGGATTACTTGTTCATCTTTCTTATCTTTGCATTATATCAAATTTATAATTTTGCAAAAATTAAAATCTTATACTGTGACATCAAATTATCTGCTAATATATGCTCCAAATATACATTGATTTGTTTCAGGCTGTCGTCTGGGTGAGCAATGAATGTACTTCGTATTTTGACACCGTGTGTGTTACAACGCAGACGCATAAGGGGTATAGATAATACTGATAAAAGAGACTCCTGGTTCATGAGAAGACAGCTTGGAGATGCCTCTCACATGACACATAGAATGGGTGCTTCTGCATCATCAAGCATCACCAGCGTAGGTGGAGATTCTGTCCAAGCAGCCAGACTCTCAGCATCAAGTAGTCCGGAACAACATGGCATTGCAGTTAGGTACATTATCAATGTTTTATACATTTACAATATTTATATCATAGGATATGTTTGGCATTCACAGCGCTCGCATCATTTCATCCTTGTTTAACATTTGATGAACAACAAGAATGAAATTATGCTTGTGAGTATTGTAAATAGAATCTATCCATGTTAGTCTTTAAATTTTCAAACAAGAGAAACGTTTTAATCAATGTGACTATTTTTAAATATTACCTTATAAACAAGAAATATAAAAAAAAATAATGAATTTTAAAAGTATACTGTGTTAATATTTTGGAATATATAAATAGGTAAATAATGATTGAAAAATGAGAGCCATAGATTTGACCGCACATCAAACTTTCTATAGTTGTTTATTCATGTATAGAGAAAAAAAGAAGAAGATGACAGGATTTGCGACACTACGCAAGAAATTTATTAGGAGACGTCGCTCTTCTAAAGCATGTGATCATGGTAGAATTATTAGAGACCTGGTGTGCACATGGAGTCACTTAGAAGCAACTGCTTTACTTGAAGAGTATGAGGCGTTAGCTGCGTTGAAAGATCTTCACGTTCAAGCCGAATTAGCTAGACCGCCAGCTGCTACTTTTAAGCAAGATCTGTCAATGTTATACGATTACAAACACTGTTCCGATGTGGATCTTGTATATAGAGGAGCGTGTTTTCCCGTTCACAGAGCCGTGCTTTCCGCCAGATGCCTATACTTTAGGGATTTGTTGGCTGGTTGTCCTGGTATATTTAACAACAAGTTTACATTCTCTTCATAAAGCAATAAAGTTTTTTATAGCAGTTTTTCCTTTATAATGTAAAAATTAATTATACAAAATACTGTTATTATATTTATGTATATATATATATATATATATATATAAAGAC